TTTCCCAAACTAATTGATGTTCTTGAAATAAGAATCATGAACTTATATTCTCTTTGAATAAGACGGCAGCCTTAAAATCATTTACGATCGGTCGTTAGCAAAATGACTGAAGATTAAGAGTTGATGAAACTGATGGAAAATTATATTTTAAAAATTAAAACTACTTCTTAATAATGAGTTAAGATGAATGCATGAATCAACCAAGAAAAATATTCCTAAATTACCAAATTTTGAGGGTTTGCGGCTACATCACGTTGAAACACTGGTTCTTATACGATGACTAAAATTAAGCAACACCGAACCTGGTCAGCACCTAAATGGGTGACCGCTTCGGCGCTGTAATCTTGAATGTGCGGGTTGTGTAATGCAAAATGATTCGGAAATTTATCGGAGAGCCGAGTTCCAATTCCTTTTGGGTTCGTTATATTCACTTACGCGCGAATATCTTTGGGAAAGGTATGAATCGACCTCTTATCCCCCATCTATGGGTTAATTAGTAAGACATTATTATTATTATTAATATTATTATCTCCAAAATAAAATAAAACTGGTTACGAACTATATTTAGATTTCAGAAATGAATAACCCATAGATGTGTTGATATACCGCTAAACAAAAACAACCTAACCAAATTCTGATTTAATAACATTTAATTTATTGATCAATTATCTAAGAAATGTCTTATCTTCGTCCTTCGAAAATATTCCCAATTTTCCAGGTTGTAATTTTTTTCTTGTTCTATCTCCGTTAACATGCGACCCTTAAACACAGGTTTTCTCCAGCTGCGAAGAGCGTTCATCCAAGTTTTCGCTGCGTCAATTGTTACGCGACAGATAGCATTAGCGTTCACCTTCTTGAAAATCGCGCCTTGTCATTATTTCATAATTGGCACACTTCTATAACAAATAGGCACTTTCCAGCGATGCTACTTATTGTTTGAAGAATCCCCATTGTTTTCTTTACGATTTACACACGTCTCCAAGAAATACATTCGCTATAAAGCTGTTATCAGTATTTTTTCATAGTAAAAACATTAGAACAATTATTTTACAATGACTTTTTCACTCAATACATGTATGTAATAAATGAGATTCACGTGTTGCCAAATTTCAAATGCCATCTTAATCAACATGTTTAGGAACGTGTCTAATATATTTGAAACATTTTCTAAATATATTTATTGAAAAAAGATTCCGTGATTCTTTCCATGCCTAAATAATCTGATATTAAATCTGTGTGAAAAACGTTTGCAAACGTCGTCATAATGAGTACATATTTCTGGATATTATAGTAAATGATTTAGCAATATTTAATTAAACTTGAAAACCTCGTGATAGTGAATAAAGATTCCTAGATATTATAGTAAATGTCTTGATAAATTTCTCATTAAAATTTAACTCTTTAGATACAAGATATTTTCAGTACCAAACTTTGTAGAATAATAAATGTAAAAATATTTTCTGGTATTTGAAATATGTTGAACTGATGGTCATTACTCATTCTGAATTTTATAAAATGTGACCCTTACTGAAGTGTTGAAATGGTTTTATACTTACTCATTGCTTCTCTTCGGAATGAGATGAAGTCTCGCCATCGGAACAGTTCACAATTTCACTCAATTTTCTAAGAAGAATCTACAACTCCTGCCTCACATGTTTGATGTCCGTCTGGTAATGCTATTTTCATTCACAATGCAGGAAATTGAAATATGAAACAATTACGCATTTTGATTTTTACGAAAGAATTTTTTTTCTTGTTTTTCACTTATATGTCTTTGATTTATTAATCTTGATCAAATTCACTGAGCATTTCAGCTTTACGTCCTGGTTGTACATGGATTTCAACTTTACGTCCTGGTTGTACATGGATTTCAGCTTTACGTCCTGGTTGTACATGGATTTCAGCTTTACGTCCTGGTTGTACATGGATTTCAGCCTTACGTCCTGGTTGTATATACGTTTCTTAACAAATCTAGACTTACAATAAATAATATTAATTTAGACACCACCACTAAATTTTCGATACCCAAAGTTTAAAATGAATTTTTAAAAGTTACGTAATATTTTATATACATAAAAAAATTTTAAATTATTTAAAAAATCTTGGTGCATACTACTTTGTATTAAGCTTTTCAATTTTTGATTAGTAAATATAGTTTTCACTTAATAACAATATCATCTAATCGGAAGAAAGTAATGAAAAATTTTAAACGATAAATTATTATAATTAAAAATTTTAAAAAATGAAAACAATTCTTGTAAAAATTCATTATTCATCGACAAAATTTTTTTCTAAGACAAAAGTGTCCTTAATAAATCTTATTTATAAAAACAATTAAAAGCTTTCCTAATTAAATAATGCCATATTTTTGTTACATTTTTTTATTTTACGATTCCGAGCAGATTTTCGGGAAATGAGCATTAGTTTGAAAAAGAAAACTTGATTTAAATTCTCCAAATAGTCCTGCTATTAACTACGAATGAAAATTTAATTTCTCGAAATTTTATGAAATTAAATAATCTGGGGATAACATGTAAAAAAAATACCAAGATTTTAAAGGACAAAATAATGTGAATAAGTCCTAAAATTGTCATTAAAATCGGACAATTATTTGATTCTTGCAAGAATTTCCAAATCAATGTATTTTTTTACCGGAAAAAGCGCAGAATCTTACTAATCGTAAATATTACGTCGAATGTTGACGTAAAAAAAAACAAAACAAAAAAAACAAAAAACAGGATATTTAACCAAAATTTCGAACATGCTAGAAAGGATAAAATAAATTAATAAAATAATAAAAAATATATATCGGTCTTTCCTCTTGATAATAATATAAACATTTTGACGATAAAACTTTGTTTTTATTAAGTTTGGGACCTTTTTTCATCATGCTATGTTGTTTTTTTTTAGCAACCAAGTGGAGGTACCTATATTAATTTCAGTAAAAAGAATTTTATCAAATATTCTACGAGGACTATTTACTAAATGATATTTATTTTAAAGTTTCTATCAACATTTATGTTGGCACGTATTTTACCAAACCCCCCTCTCGGATGTTGTGTATTAGTTTCACAAACCATTGATAATATTTATTTACTACTGGATAGAATATTTTGTTTAAATTGTCATCTTCAAAAACTTTTTTTTATGGATTATCACAGATCGTTTTCGATTGTAATACCTTTTTTTGTCAGAAATTCTCAAACTTATTCGCATTTTCTGGGTTTCAGTCTTATGAACTTTTATTTCATTCTTGCTTTCTGGTTGCAGAACTTTAATCTCCTGATATTTTGCGATTCTTTGAGGTTTGTTTGAATTGTAAAGGAAATATAATTACAATGAATTTGTAATAAAGCTCTTTCCTTAATTGAAATGCTCTAAAAATTTTCAGGGCAGGATGGTGTTACGCGCTATTGGAGATGCAAGAGTTTGATCTCTAACAAGCGCTTTGTTATTGTGACCTTGTGTCTTACTAGGCTCAGATTCACTGAAATCAATGACGTATCTACTATTCCCAAATGTGAGTAAATGTAAGTAGCCTACCATTTAATAATAACTGAAAATATAGCCTACCTAGGACGATGGCGCCATGGTCTACTTCAAAGTACCCCCTTCCGACTCCCTGTACATATCTCTTAAGCGTCACTTTCACTTTCGTGAACAGGATGCAATGCCATCTTTTTGTAATATTCGTCTTCTACCTCGTCGCGTTCTCCTTAATCTTATCCTCGACCTTTAACTTTAGGAAAACTCAGATGTGTCAGGGAGCTAAATTAGGGAGCTGAAAATGCTGTATATGAACTCACATAATGACATCTCACTTTCTAAGAACAGTTCAAAGAGTGCATCTTTTCTCGCATGCACAGTAAGACCTCCTGTTTCTCAAGTTACATCAAGCTTTAGCAACAAGTTCTCTAACATCTAACATTGCTGGATACTTTTCAGCCCGACCTCGCAAAGGCTTGAAAATTATCCACATTATTTATATATATCTTGCTTCCAGGAGAGTAGAAAACATGGCCAGATTTTGCCTGATTGCTTGTCCAATGCTTGAAAATCTTTCGTCAATATTAGAGTTTCCCATTACGAACAAACATCTTTTTTTTAAATAATAAATAATTATTTAATATAAATATATAATATAATATTGTATTTAATGTTTAACTCATCTCTCAAAAGGGAAGATTCTATTACGCCAGAAAACCATATTTTTTTCAAACGATGTTAAAGAAATGAAATTTTGTTCTTACTATGATATTTACTTTTTGAATATATCGTTAATCTTGTTATATCTAGGAAAACTTTTAATATTTTCGAAATGTCTTCTGGACAAAGTTACAACGCCTAAAGCCAAGAAGAAAAGTAATCGAAAGCAGTTATGCAGAAACAGAACAATATAAGCGGTTTTTCATCGTTGAAACAAACAAATATTAGCATCACATGAACAAGTTTAATAAACATCTTACAATACACTTGGGAGAAGGAAATTGGAAACTCCATCAAGGATATATATTAAAATTTTAATTTCCTACAAAATTTACAATCATTTTCATGAAATCAACACCAGTTTCCAAGGTGGCTTTTTATGGAGATTTTTTGTTTGTATTTTTTATTTTATTTTTGTGTTTTTTGTATTTTCATAATGCTGAAAGTCCTTAGAGAAGCATCCACATTTACTGCGCATGCGTATTCAAATAACTGAATGACGCAGATATACACCAAATCTCATAAATTGTACAACTGAAGTGAAGTTTAAGATGTACCACAGCCACCGGAAAAGGACAGGTTTTAACGAAACAATACTGTCCTTTGTATTGAGAGAGAGAGAGAGAGTGTGTGTGTGTGCGCGTGTGTGTGTGTGTTAGTATTTGTGTATTTCCCAGTCCAAATACTGAATTACATTTTTGTAAAATGTAAAGTATTTAATCAGAAGCTTTTATTTTGTATTTCTTTTTGTCTCTGTTCAGCCAAAGAAGGAAGCAAGCTAGAGACATCAGCCATTAACCTTCCAGACATCCTTTGCATTTTTCTGCAGATCGACCAAATCTCATAAAACGTTTTTCCTCTGAGTTCACGTCATCGTCTTCACCGCCGCGTCCAAATCTCATGAATCTCTTGTCAGCTTCTTGGTCCTCAGGGTTTCGACCAAAGCGCATGAACCTCTTTTCTTCGCCGTTCTTCCCAAATCTCATGAATTTCTTTTCAGGGTCACGTCCAAATCTCATAAATCGTTTTTCGGCTTCCTCCTCATCCTCTTCGTCTCCACGTCCGAATCTCATAAAACGTTTATCTTCTTCCAGTTCATCTTCAGCATCGCCGAGGTTTCGACCGAATCTCATGAATCTCTTGTCATCTGATTTGCCAAAACGCATGAACCTTTTTTCGGGATCGCGTCCAAATCTCATGAATCGCTTTTCGTTCAGTTTGTTGCCAACATCGCTCGGGTTACGACCAAAACGCATAAATCTCTTTCCAAAGCGCATGAATCTCTTCACATCAGAATCTTCGACGTCATCGACGTATCTTTTTGTGATTTTTGCGCTATCGTTTTTCTGTTCAGCACTATCTGTGTTGCTTTGGGGAGCGGCGTCTGTGGATCGCTTTCGTCGAACACTGGTGTCGTCGGCCTTTTGCAAGCTTTCAACTCTCTGCAGGGCTTGTTTGAGCAAGTCATCCAACTGAGGAGCTGCTCGTCCAAATCGAAGGAATCTTTTATCTTCGAAAGGAAGGTCTGGTACATTTTTCCCAAAACGCAAGAAAGCATCTCCTGACAGGGCTCTTCCAAAGCGTATGAAACGTTTACTTCTCATTCCATCATCTGCACCTGAAAACCGACAAAAAATGGGAGAAAAGTCATCATTTAATATTTTCAAACGCTAAACACGATTTATTGGCTTGTTAAAATAATGCCAAAATATCAAAGTAAATTCATAAAATTTAATATCAGCATTAACCCTTTGAGCCCTGGCCACCGCTTTACCGGTGGTAGAGAAAAACGACATAATGCCCAGTCACCGGTTAAACAGTGGCAGAGAAAAATGACGTAATGTCCACTCACCGGTTAAAAAGTGGTAGAGAAAAACGACGTAATGCCCAGTCACCGGTTAAACAGTGGTAGAGAAAAACGACGTAATGCCCAGTCACCGGTTAAACAGTGGTAGAGAAAAACGACGTAACGCCCAGTCACCGGTTAAACAGTGGTAGAGAAAAACGACGTAATGCCCAGTCACCGGTTAAACAGTGGTAGAGAAAAACGACGTAATGCCCAATCACCTGTTAAACAGTGGTAGAGAAAAACGACGTAATGCCGAGTCTCCGGTTAAACAGAGTTGAGAAAAATGATATAATGCCCAGTCACCGGTTAAAACGACGTAATGCCCAGTCACCGGTTAAACAGTGGTAGAGAAAAATTACGTAATGCCCTGTCACCGGTTAAACAGTGGTAGAGAAAAACGACGTAATGCCCAGTCACCGGTTAAACAGTGGTAGAGAAAAACGACGTAATGCCCAGTCACCGGTTAAACAGTGGTAGAGAAAAACGACGTAATGCCCAGTCACCGGTTAAACAGTGGTAGAGAAAAATGACGTAATGCCAAGCCACCGGTTAAACAGTGGTAGAGAAAAATGACGTAATGCCCAGCTACCGGTTGAACTTTGGGTAAACACTTGTAACTATTTTTATATCTACCGTGAAACATTACATATCAATTATTTGCGAGTTTTGACTCAGGAGATCAGGCAGAAGGGTTAAAATTGTTCAGGCTCAAAAGGTTAAGCAATCGAAATACGTTCATATACAATCAAAAGAGAAAACTGAAAGCAAATTATATATGACATTAAATTTTGAACTAAAATTTTGAATCCACTGATTTTAAGAAATAGTGTTTAAACGTAAATGGGTGACGTAATCATGAAAATAAATAGTAAATATTTTTATGAAAGAATTTTCTTTCTTAATGTTCTGATGATAAGCTATTGGCATTTCATTGGAGATCATTGTATACGGACATCATTCATTGATGCCTCGAGTTTAAATAAATAATTGGAACTCTACGATTTATGAGGTTATTATTATTTATTAGGATTCATACATTTCCTGCAAATAACATAGAAAGAGTAAGTCAAAGACAGGCCTATATCAGCATGCACACTTCTCCAAGAGAAAACAGGCGAAAAAATGCACAATGCCAACTTGCCGGGAATTCTTCAAAGAGTATCATAATGTCAACAAAAATATAGGCACAGAATATTTGTTTTATTTCCCATTTTAACTTTATTTTTATAATCTAAAGGTCTAAGATAATTAACGCGGAAATAAACATAAAAAGTGCTATTTTAAGAAATACGTTTTCTCATTTTTTTTTTAATCGTTTTTTAAGGGTTAGAAAAGTTAGTCTGTTAAAGAGTGAAATTTTAATGCGTTGCTTATGTCAACGAAAATGTCTGGGGTAGAGAACAGATACTACCGCAACAAAAATACATATATATATACATACAATCACATAGACACAAGTGTATATATGATCGTTGGTGGACCTGAGGAATGATGTTCTTATTCAAAAAATGCTACGTAAGACATGGTTATTGATGGAACCTCTGTGGTATGATGAAACGACCACACTCTACACACTTTCCTTCCAAGCACTGCTATAAACAATGGAAGCGAGCGAAAACGTCATAGTTTAGATAGTGTTCAAGGTCTGTCTGTGCCAAGCGATTTCACTCTGTGTAATTTAGTTCCGTTACCATAGCAACAGTCCCGTATATTTATGTATATTAGTTTTTTATATATTTCTGTGAAAAGAATCTTAAGTATATTTATGAGATAGAAGTTTTAATGAGCATATTTAGACAATTTCCGCAAAGAAATGGAAAAACAGAAGCATCAGAAATCTGGTTCTACAGAAGGATAATGAGAATTCCTTGGACGGAGCGAGTAAGCAACGACGATGTCTTAAAGAAAATAGTAACAAAAAGAACACTTATACTCAAAATCAGGAAAAAGACATGACTTGGACACGTAATAAGGAGGGCTTGGAGAACTTAACCCTCACGGGGCATATTGTGGGCAAGAGAGATAGGGGAAAGCAGCGATTCACATACTTGATGATCTTATGTGGGTGAATGGCAGAACAGGGTGGAGGCGTTGGCCTTAGCAAATAAAGAAAACCTGTAAGAGATGTAAAAGACGTGGAGAGTCCTGAAGGGACGAGGCAAATAGAAGAAGGAGGAGGAGGAGGGGGATGAGTATATGATAAATATTAAAAGTATTCAATTTGAATGATTTTATCAAGTTGCTTTTTTGGCAGATTCAAATATCTTCAATTCTTGAATCTGTTGTTTATGGAATCCAATCTATAGGCGGAAGAAGGCAATTTATCCTTCTTTAAATAATAAAAATAAGACGTATATCATGTCAGATTTTATTATACAGATTTAATTATGTTCTAGTTTTCGCAATACAATTGGTTTTAATCAACTTAATAATTTATGTGCCATGCGTGATACACGCTTAGGCGATCATGTAGCTTTCGACTGACGAGGCAGAATATTTCCCCGCAGTAGGTTGCCATTTCTTTCTGCAGTAAACCAGTTGCTATCCAAGGAATCCGGTCTGTCTGGGGCGGGGTTTGAAGAAGAGGATCCATACCTTTCCCCAAGGGTATTAGTACGTAAGTCAATATAATGGATTTGATTGCAATTCGACTCTCCGATTCCTCAATCCGAGCCGCTATCCACTACTCCACAGTACCTCCTGTCTTACAACACTTATTCTAATTAGAAATATTGATAACTGATCTTGAAGATATCAACATTTTTATTAAGTAAACAAAGTGCAACAGAAATTTTACGGCGATAGATGCAAGGGTTATTTGAAGTGAAAGAGAATGAAATTACTTTAGTAATTCAGAAGACTGAAGATGGCGTTTAGTGTTGTATTTAATTTTTCAAAATTATAGTTTGCAGGGAAGCGAGAAGTCGAAAGCACTTTCCACAGTCTAGATGTGCGAGAAAATAAACTGTTAAAATATAACATACGGTTGCGTCTAGCTAGTTCAGCAGTAAAATGGTGAGATCTCGTTGCTAATCTAGTAGCAGGTTTAATACATGCAGTCGAGAAACCAAGAAGGGAAGTTTATCAGAACAATTACCATCAAAATATTTATGGAAAAGGCTGAGGGAAGCCACGTTACGGCGGTGACAAAGTAACTGAAGGCGAGATGCCAGGTTAGAATCGACTACGTTATAGACCCTTCTTCGAATATTGTCAAGAATTTCGAAATATATAGCAGGAGAACCAAACCAGATACGTAGAAATATTTAATTGCACGGACGAATGGTAGATTTATCAGATGGTTCCTGTCGAGAAAAATTGTCTGGTGACACACAATAAACCACCTTTATAAATAAATGTAAAAGATATAGAGATATAGGTCATAGAAATATATAGGTGGTTAACAAAATTCCATATACCTGAATAAATTATTATTTTACATGTTAATAAAAGCTCCTTCTTGATATTCTATAATATTCATCATTCTCGCACATATTGATTTTGTTAATTATTCTAATCTTTCTAGTTTAACATTATTAGCAGCTTTTTTAGTGCTTCTCAGAGATATTTGAATATTTATTTCAGCACTCCGTCGTAAATTAGGTCTTGTAAATGATACCACTTTTATATATTGTATATGATATCTTTTATTTCTGACTAAAAACGGTAAAAAATGAGAACGACTGATCTGTTCGTTAATTGGATTTGTTTATTGATAATGATCATGAAAAGTGCATTCAGTTAAATGGAATTGAAATTCCATCTAACTGAATGCCCTTTTCATGATTTTGAAAAATTCTTGAGATCATAATAAAGAATAATCTATGAACATATAGTTGTCATAAATCAAACAGCAAACGCTAATTGTGTGATTGAAAATAACAAGTTGAGAGTATATGGTTGTTAATAATAATGGCAGCTGAAGAAAATTGCGATGAATAAAAAAATAAAGTCTTATATCGATTTTTATTAACTGGCTTCATTTCATAATTTGCTTAACTATTTCAGAAAAGTTTAACCTATCGTGTGACTCTTTTATCCGTAAAAAAGAATCCCTACTTGCCTGACGTATCTAAGAGCAGAAACTTCTGTACAATAAACCACATATTGCCAGAGTCAGTTAGGATTATAATACTAAATATGATTGTATTGTCTGGTTCGCATTACTTTTCAGATCATAGCAATATTTTTACAGGGAAAACAATTTATTAATTTTGAACAGGTTAAAAACCGATATTGAATTTTTATTTTTATTTTTTTTTTGTATCTGACCCTGTGGATTTTTACTTCCAGGGGATCAATAATTTGACAAATAGATGAAATTATGTTATCGATAATGAGGTGAAATATAAGTATATCAATTAAAAACAAAGAAACATTTGTTTCTTTTCCATCCAAAAATGTGACATAACTATTTTTACAACTTAAGGTGTTACACAAATTTCGAGTAATTTGAACAGCACACGGAAATCTGATGTATACTGAATTTTACCAGTGAACAGTTTATAGAAATCATACAAGCTATGATGACACGTTTATGTATTAAGAGAGCTTTTTAAGGCTGTTCATCAATTTTCATATCTGAATGAAACGGAATATATTAAAGGTTATAAAATATGCAACAACTTTTCATTTAAATTTTTCTTATTAATTAAAAGGATAAAGCAACAGAAATTTCAAGGATGAATTTGGTGATACTGACATGAGACTTAACAAAAATTTTTGTTTTACAAATGATTCATTAACTGATGAACGTTTGTCAACGAGTA